AACACAAGAGGGACTGATAAAGGGTTTAGCAATATCAACCTTCTACCGTTGTGGCAGTAAAGAAAGAATATTCAAAAGGATTATCTAACAAATAACTTTCGATACCCAAAATCACATTTGCAACACTTGATTTGATGAACATCCTTGGTTGGAATAGGATGATGTGTTATAATCTTAACAGATGACAAATTAAAGTCAAAAAGGTCAGCATACTCCTTCTTAAGTCAGTTAATTACTACAACATAAAGATCGTCAGAAGAATATAAAAAAGGAATAAAGAAGCAAGACATAAATATAGTAGAAAGTAATGGGGAAATAAAAGTGATAGAAGTAAAGGTAGAAACAGTAAGATAAAGTAGAATAAAAGTGAGAAGAATGAAAGAAACTTAAGAAAACATGAGATAAGGGGGGAGAATGAGAAAGAAGCAAAAACAAATTCTCAACTTCATGCACATGCATAACATCTAAATTAGTATAAGGATAAAAAACACTCAACTCAAAGATTGAGAATGAGAATTATAAAATTTCTCTCTCTCTCTCTGTCAATGTAGGTATATTAGAAATTAATATAATTTTAGAGAAATCAAATTTTAAACTCTATAATTATTATATTTAAGTTTTTAAATACTTTTTTTTAAAAGAAAAATTTAGATATTCTAAGCATATTAAGAATTAAGAACTGGAGAACAAAGTAATTAAAAGTGAATAGCTTACCTTTTTACAGTTGTAAGAACTCTAAAAATGTTTAGTACATTGAAGTAGGAAAATCTTGAACTATTTTATTAAAAAAGGTAAAATTGATATTAAATATTATAAACTATTTACTTTTCTTTAATCTTATTTTAAAGGTGCAAAAAACTGTTGATAATTTTTGTATCCAAGTTAAATTAAGTAAGAAAAGTTTTGTAGTACTAATTTCTGTAATAATAATAATATACTTTTTCATCATAGTGAAATTTATTGAGTTATATTAAATATATCAATTAACTTTATAATGTTATACTTTTGCAGTCCTTCTTACTTTTATATATAACACTTTAAAGAATGTTTTCTCAATGCTTAAATAGATTTTGATTCTTAAGAAGTGTTTTATAAAGATAAAAAATGTCATGCTTTTGGTTTGCTTTAGAAAACCTTTAGGTTCATTTATAATTCATTTGTAATCAAGCTTTATTTTTAATAATCTCTTTTATCATGAATACAAATTATGTTTAAAATTCTAGCACTTGCAAGCTTTCACTAGATTCATGATCTATCTAGAGATGGTTTTAGGTTTGCAATAATCATCAGAAAAACCACTAAAGATTCAAGTCAAAACCGTGTAAGAAACAAAAATTTATAGAAAGAAGTGGGGAGTACTATTGATTTAGCCCATAGCCATACTTGGCTAAAATCTAGGCGCTATAGTTACAAGATTATGTAGACATTATAAAAATCTTTATAACTCAATCTTCAATATTTCAGAATATATGCTTCACGTGGGATTTTTTTCTTAATATTTTTTCTTCTCCAATTTTTTAAATTTTGTCCTTTTGTGCTTTATTATATGTATGTGTATTAGTGCTTGGGTTGTTGTAAGCTCCAGCAAATCTAATAATCAATATAGCTTCACTGCTTGTGGAGGGTGTACTTATCGAAGTGTTAAAGTGATTGAAAACATATTGTGCTTAATTTATCCTCTCATTGATTTTAAAAACTAATCACACACGTCTCTTTCCAACTTTTACCAGCACATCCTAGTGTGAATCCCCACCACAACTTGGATTGCAGCATGCATAATCTTTATGTATTGTTTTCTATTTTCTCATAAAGAGCTGAAATAATTGTCAATTTCTTTGCAGAATACTTTTGGTTTCTAATATTGTATGGGTTTTATATTAACTTTAAATTAATTTATTCAAAATAAATTTATCTTCATTTACATAAAAATAACTAAAGAAAGTCAAGCATTACAGCAGCAAATTATTATAAAGATATAATAAAGGCATTAAAAATGGGCATTTTTTAATTGTCTTTTTGCCCTTGTATTTTTATTGATTCTTCTCTTTGACAGTGCAATTCTTGTTTTTGAAATACAAAATCCATCACCACATTGTGATAAAGATTAAGAAACCTTGAATAGAGGAATTAGTGACACCAAAGAACAGTGCTTGAAGCTTGCAGGGCCATTAATTCACATAAATCCTTATGGAGAGCTGTGCTCCAGTTTTTTAATTGAATGCTTACATCACTTTTTACAAACTGAGGAAAAGGAAAGCAACAAAAAATCAATTGCTCTTCTCAACGTCAATATACTCCAATTCAATGCAGCAGCTGCGAGCTTCTCCAGCTTGAGATCAAGGGACAAAACACGAATATAGGCTCGCTATATCTACAATATAACGACACTAGACTTTTCTGTACAAGATCGGAATACAAAGAGTGATTTTTTACTTAATTGTTTTTCACGTTCAAGCGGCCTCTAAGTAGTATTCTCCACAACAAAAGGAATTTTTAGGGCTCTTAGGCTGACAGTTTTAGGGCTTTTGGAAGGTAATGGATCGCGATCAGCATCTGTTCGGTCCCAGGCTGTCTGTAGAGGCGAATCCATCGCTGTACCAAAAGGGATTTTGCCTTCGCTATAGCGACGACTCTGGCAGGCAGCGAATATGCCACGACAAGACGCACAGAGGTACTCTTTCCACACGTTTTTTTTCAAGAGGAGACACTCCTTTGTCCTTGGAATTTTGTTCCATGGCTGTGCTGTGCTGTGTCTTTATTGGTGTTCTTTCTCTCTGCTCTAGTTCGGCGGTTTTTCTTTTTTTTTTCTCTCTTTCTTTGGCTCCAAAGCAAACTGCAGCTTCCTGCATCTTTGGAGATCAAACTGCTGGATGCTTTCTCTTGAAAGCACCAAACAAAATTTAGTTTGTAAGCTCATCTTTCGTACTGTCTATCGTAAAACTTCTCTTCTTTCTTTGCTTGCAGGCAGCAAGAACGAAAAAACCTTTTCTTTTTAAGGCTTTTCGCTCGCAGCGGCTGCTGCTCCTGGGAAATCCAGGCTCGTAAAGACGTTGAACGCGTTCTTCCCGAAAAGATTTGAGGTGGTTCTCCACGACATGTAGTCCATGTAGCGGAAAGGCCTGTGCACGAGAGGATGATCCCCGTCAACCAGCTCGCTCGGTGCCTGGATCACCAAGTCCTCTGCCACGGGCCCGTAGAAGTAGCCGATGGAAACTCGGGGAGTATCCGAGTTGACAACGGCGCGGTGCTCCACACTTTTATATCTACAATTGCTCCAGGCCTTAGGGAGGAGAAAAAGGAAAGATCACAAGGAATTCACAGAAAAAAAAAAAAAAAAAATCGATCGTTAGAGCAGCTCAACTCCGGGAGAGATAAGGAAGCAATCAACAAAAATGAAAAAAAAAAAAAAAAAACAAAGGAAACAGCAGCAGCAAGAACAAGGAAAGTTTGGATCCAGTCCAGAGCAACAAGAACAACAGACAATACAAGGTAAAAAACAATCCTGATACCTGGAAGCTGTCGCCGATGTTGATCACGATGGCATTGTCTATTGGCTTTACCGCTATCCACTGACCTTTTCTCGCTATCTGCAGGCCTCCAACACTGTCCTGGTGGAGAATTGTCACACAGTTTGGATCTGTGTGAGGAACAAGGCCGAGAGCCATGCTCGGCTCCGGACACGATGGATAGTAATTGAAGCGAGTTCCAGTGAATCCACAGCCGCTCAGCAAATCGCTGGCGGTGGACTCCTTCACTCCCAGGCTCAGCACCAGCAGCCGAAGTATGCGTTTTCCAAGCTTGTCCATCTCTCCCAGGTAATCCGTGAAAGTTTTGCTGCATACAGCCATATACAACTTTAGAAAGCATGATCTTTGAAGTGTTTTTTCTTCGGAATTAAGGCCTTTTTTTTCCGCTACCTGATAGTTGTGCTTTGTTCCGGCCATGCGCAGCTCGCAATCTGGGGAATGGCGGACAGGTCGTGTACATTGAGTCCCTCCACCCAGGAACACGCCGTGTATTTCTTGCGGGAGAAGCTCTCATAGAGACGGAACTTCCAGCTTCCCTCGGTAGCTTGGATCTTACTTTCGACTGGCAAGCAAAAAAACGATTTTGATAATCCCTCCATGGATTTCATGAGATCCTGCGGCACACCGTGGCTGACAACGTTGAAAAATCCCCACTCCTCGCAGGCTTTGCGCAGCTTTTCGAGGCAGACACGCTCGTCCTCGTCCAGATCGATCACCGGAAGCTCCAGGCCGCGGATGTATTGATTGTGGAAGACTTTGGGACAGTCACTAGGCGGCCACCTGTGGCTCTCAGGGAAAACTTTAGATGATGACGATGGAAGGTCCATTGCCGCTTTGGAAGTGCTGGGACGAGCAGGGATAAATGCTAGTGGCGCCGAAGAAACAGTGCTTGAAGCAGCAGCGGTGACTTGGAGTGCCATGAATTCGCATAAATCCTTGTGGAGCGCGAGGACATCAATTGTTACCAGCGGAGGAAAAGAAAAACAACGATCTCCACTCAAGAACTACGTCAATATCTTCCAGGAACGCAAAACGCAACGCAACACAAACGCAGAGCTCGGGAATGGATGGAGTGGCGATGGGGAAGTTTTTGGGAAATTTATAGCTGCGAGCTCCTCAAGCTTTGGAGAAGCGAGAAGAAGAGGAGGAAGCCACATCTCTTGGCCACTCTTATTCCGGACAGATGATAGAAGGGACAAACTCAAATGGATCTTAGAGCATCGACTGGACAGAGACGCAGCCTCCTCTTCGGTAATGGTGGTGACGAGTCGGGACAAAGCTACGTAGTAAATTCACTAAAGTCGAGTTTTTTATCCCCGTTTTCCACCTTATTTTACTCTTCTTTCGATTCTAACCTCTATTTCTCGTGATTTGATTGTTCAAGGAGATCCAGGTGTTAGCTCTTGCAAAGATCAAAGGGTCATCAAAACACGAAGAAAAAGAACTACGTGAATTGTTTAACGCACCAGTGACCTCTACGTCTCGCAAGAGCTATAGGAAGACTTTTATCGTTTCTAAGGTTCGTGTAGTTAGTTTGCATTGAGACTAGAATCCATTCCTTCCATCAAAATTGGTTTTTTCCCCCAAACTTTCTTCTCACTCTCTCTCTCTCTCCGCTTTTGTTTTGGCCTTTCTTTGTTGCTGCGATCGTCTTCTTCTCAGGTAGCTCCACAGCTCCGCGAGCTCCGCCATTGTTGGAGTGTAACTACACACACTTACAAAATCCAATAGAAGCGAGAAGAAGGGGGACAAAAGAGGACAACCATGACGGGCCTCCCCATCCTTGCGCCACATGGCCACAATTTAAATCGCCTAGGGGGGACCGTACATTGTCGCCACCAAAGAAATCGATACCCTCTTTGTTGGCGTAACGCTGGAAAGGCTTTGTGCCGCTATCACGGCATATTCCCTGCCCCAAGCTACCTGCTTATATAACTGGCCGCCCTTGGCCCTACGTGTATAAATAGCTACTTGGGCGGATATTACACTACGCTACACACAACAGCGTACTGGGGTATCTTTACAAGAGGAGGGTCGCTTTCGCCCCCTCTTTTGGCGCCCACAAGGGTTTTAAATTCAAAAGAAGGAGAATATCTGGTTGACGTCACGCCACGTTGGCAGATCGCGTCACCGCCACGCGTGCAAATTAGGGCAGAGGGAGTTTTCCCGCTCGAGTTTTGGGGCAGATTTTAGGGTTGTTGGGAGAGCCATGGTCGTGCCGCCGGAGAGCGAGGAGCTGCCGCGCGCGAATATCAAGCGGATTGTCAAGGCCAAGCTCGCGGAGCTCGCCAGGTCGCAGTTAGGGCAGGAGCGCGACATTCCGGTCCAGAAGGAGGCGTTTCAGGCGTTTGCGGAGAGCACCAGGATTTTCATCCATTACTTGTCCGCAACGTAGGGGAGAAATCTATCGCTCTCTCTCTCTCTCTCTTAGTTGATCGATTTTCTTTGTCCAGTGCCAACGATATTTGCCGGGAAACCAAGCGCCAGACCATCAATGCCGACGATGTGCTACGCGCGCTGGACGATTTGGAGTTTGGAGAGTTTGTGGAGCCACTGCGAGCCTCTTTAGAAGGTTCTTTTCTTCTCTTTCCTGGCCTTTGTTTTCACGATTCTCCAATCAAGCCATCGTTTTCTAGACTTTTCTCAGCCCCCTCTCACCTCTTTATGGATCTTCCAGGCTACAAGGCAGGGAGAAAATCTATGCCAAAGAAGAGCAGTACCTCAACTAGCAAAAGGAAAACTTCCACCACCAAGAACAAGGACAAAGCACAAAAGGCTTTTAGAGAGGGCGATGGAGAGGACGAAGAGGAAACAATGCAGTAGAGAAGTTGAGTTTTCTCTACTTTGGTAAGCATTTGCTTTCTTCTTGCTGGCTAGATAGAGTGCGAAACCATAGCTAAAAAGGAGAGAAAAATCATAGATACAAGCCTCGTACATAGATATTTGCTCAATCTTCCAAGATGGACTCACAGTTTCTCAAAACTTCTTTACAAGTCCGTGCTCTTCTTCTTGGGCTTTCCCTTGGGAGCTTGCAGATGCTGCATTACAAAGATCACACACATCGCAATGATCAAGCAGCCCACCAGGAAGCTGAAGAACACCGCGCCTTGGTGCTGCGTCTGGACGAAGCCATAGATCCCGGACGCCGTCACCACAATCACGTCGTTGAATCCATCGCCGGAAAAGTCCGCCACCACGATCGGACGCGCTGGTGGCGAAGGAAGCGCTAGAGTTGCGATCTGGTGGCCGGACGAGGATATAAGCACTGCCTCCTGCTCGCCAGCCGCGAGGATAACTTCTCCGCGGCCATTCTTTCGCAGCGCCATCACCTCGAGCGTTGGAACAGCTCGATCCACGCCGAAGCTCGACAGCATTGGCTTGCTCGACCATATAGCTCCCGTGACGATCTGCCAGCGTTGATTACCGGCTGGAGTGTAAGAGGTTACCTGCAATGCACAAGAACTTAGAACAAGAACTTACAAGAACTTGGAACTTAAGAACTTGCAAGAACTTAGAACTAGAACTAGAAGCTTGCAAGACAAGAACACGTACCTCGCCACGGCTGGTGAGGAAGATCACGTCGCCATAGCCAGTGGGCCTGAGAAAGAAGACGGGAGGAACAACTTCGATGGGGGAGGCGTCCAAGTTCCGTCCAAACGTTCTCGACATGAACTCGCCTTGTTGGAAGGCTCCATAGCCCGAGTTTCTACATATGGAGCCATTGAAAAGCTGCTGGCGCACTAAGGTTCCAGACGAGGCCACGGCCCAGCAAGGCTTGATCGCCTCCATGGTGCCTGGAGCTACGTGAGTCCCGCTGCCTCCTACTGCCTGAAAGATCCAAACTTTAGAAAACGCATTGGACGTAGCTCTCACCTGGACGTGGTCCAAAACTCCATCGCCGTTTATATCAGCGTGCAATCCTCCTTCTTGAAGCCATAGCTGCATAGAAGTGACGCTCAAACACAAACGAAAAGAAGAAAAGCAAGAAAACCGGTTACCTTGCAAACAGTTCGACCGCTCGCAAGATGCACCGCTTCAATGCCTTCCTTCAAATGCGCCACAACAACGTTTGGCAGCCACCAGTATGAGGATTGATTGGTAATCACTGGGATGTATGCGTATCTCTGCAAGCAGTAAGAACCGAAAGTTGCTTACTTCGAAACCATGACGGCTCGTCGTACCGTTTTTGGCCGGGCTGAAGTGGCGAGCTTCGCAGCCTTTCCCAGCGCTTGAGCGACTTTGTTCGAAGGGTCTTTACCAGGAACATGCGGATCATTAGGACGCTTGAGAGGATACCTTTCTCTATTAGAACCCGGTTGTTTCTTGTGGTGCTTCCTTTCGTGCTTTACAAAGTGCACTAGCTGGAACCGAGTATCATCTCTGCTTTGCTACGAAAAGGATAGCAGTCAGGTAACATTCACAGAAGGAAAATATAAACGGTGGCTTACCCAGCGATGTGGCAAAACTTGAAGTATGGACTGGCGATAGTCCCTGCAATGAACCTGTCAACAGCCATAAGTAGGAAGCTAAAACTCAATACTAATCGCTAATGCACCTCGTCGAGCTGACGGCCTTGAAGGGAAGCAGCATCTAGCCTGTAATTGTGCTGGGGTGTGAGTTCAGCTGCGGAAGAGAGGTCTCGATGAAAATCCTGCACTGCCTTGGCTCAGTACCTTTACATTGAAAACAGTTTTTGCAAGACTCACCGCACTCTTGTGCTCCCATCTACGCTCCCCAGTCATACCAGCAAAAGCATAGTATGAAAAATGGTGAGTCTTTCCCGCATTAACATCCTCGGAACCCTATGGGAAAAGAGAAACAAACTTCCGAGTTGCATCTCTTTCGAGTGAAAGAACGTCTACTTACTTCTTTGGCATCTGCAGCATGCCGGTGACGCTCTTCTTCCTTTTCTGCTAGGAGCTCCTCCTCGAATGGATCCAAATACACCTAGAAAAGAAATCAAAATGGTGATTAGCGGAGAAAAGAAATAGCACGGAAAAAGAATACCTGAGACTGAGCCTCCATGCTGCCTCCCACGATTATAAGGCCCGTGTCTCCATGCCGCAAGGTGAAATTACTGATAGAAATGCTCACTTCCTTGTGAAAAGCTCCGTGAGGAAAGTCATCCTGGAGGAAAGTAATCAGCAGCCATCCACGACTAGGCATCAAGCGAGCAAAGACAATACCTGTACACTCGATTCCCAGAGCTTTTTCAAGTTGTGATCGAAGCACATAATCACCCAGCCCGCCGTGACTACCACCAGAACTTGCTTCCTGGGCTTTCCTTCGTTATAAGATCGCTGAATGACTCCGGCGGCCATGGCCACAGGTCTCCTCCCAGCCGATATTCTAACTTTCTCGGGAAGAAGAGAAACTTCAGTAACGGTTCGTGCCTCGCTGAATCCATCTTCATTGAGTTTCGAGTGAGGATCCAGTACCTGGAGAATGAGAGAAAAAGAGAGAGCTGACCACGCGAGCGTATAGACGAGTTTTTCCTTACCAGTAACTTGGAGTCGTGAGTTGCGACGATAACTTCGTTGCGACCGTCGGCGTTTAGATCAGTGACAAGAGGGGGCGGCAAGCGCTCGGCTTCGTGCTTGATGGGATACGCTTCGTCGACGACATGGAACCACGATTCTTTGAACGAGAAGTTCCCTTCGTTCTGGAACAAGAGCAAGGAATTCAAAGAAAAACGATCAAAACGACCACATTCTCTCTTACCTGGAGGGAGAAAAAAATGGCGAACGCGGAGATAATCAGAATTCCCAAGTCCCTCTTTCGCATCGTGACCTGCGAGACGATGCGATGGATTTGCAGCCAGCTCAAATGGCTCTTTCTTACCCGATTCACCAACCGATCGCTGCGTGCTGATAGCTCCCTCGATTGATGGATCAGGAGACGCTGCTTTCCCGACGCGCGGAGCTCTTGCGCTGAAGTTCAGCCATAGCCCCAAACCCTAAATTACAGCAAGAAACCCTAAATCCCAGATTAAAGATTAACTATCAAGCAAACAAACATTGAAAAATTGGTGCTTCAATATCGGAAAATATTTGCCAAAAATATTAATAAAAATAAATCCATATTTTCTCATCTTTTTTCAAATTGAAACTTTAATTTCATTTACTACAGTCCTGGCTTCACTACAAGAACTGGAGATTCCTTGGTAGTATCTTTTCTAATTGTAAATTAATTCTTTGTCGACTTTCTATCAAATAAATAAGTCTCAGGTAACCCTTGCTTTATCTTTCTTGCTTTTCCAACATTGGTTTCAGTTCTATATTTTAGTGTTAATCTTCATTCCAGAAAGTTTTCTTCTAATTCTAAGGCTGCTTTGACAAGTTCATGCAGAGGGCAAGATGGTTTTTAAGTAAATTTTTTCAAAGAATTTCTATCAATCTTGTACTTTACACGGCTGTGCCTTGTAGTATCTTCTTCAGCCGAAGTAGCATTTAGGGATATGCCAAGGATGTGATCCTCCCAGTAAGGCGCAAGTGGATCTTTATACACACACACATGTTTGAGTATATAGTGATGCTTTTTGGTATGATCAGCACACTTGTTATTTTCTAATATATGGCAAATAATATTTTTCATGATCTTTTTATTGTTATTTATTTTAATGACATTTTTATTTTCTTTGGAACTTAAGAAGAGCACCACTATCATATTTCCAGTGGTGCTCTAGTGTCTTTGATAACACAACTTTTTTTGCAAAGTTGGAGAAATATTTATTTAAATCAAGATTCAGTGGAGTTCTTAGGTTATATTATTTCCACATGTAGTATCATTATGAATCCTACCAACGTTTCCACTATTTTTGAGTGGCAACACCCAATTTTTATTTATGATATCCAATAAGTTTTTATCAGCATTTCATTTCCCTTTTATATGGCTTGCTATAAAAGATGCCCCTTTTATGTGGTTTTATGTTGACTAACCCTTTTTTGATTTTCTAAAATTTATATTTACTGTAGCTCTAGTTTCATCTATTTGGATAACATGAAGTTAAATTTTACTCATATTAATGCTTCAAATTTTGTTTTAAGCGTTATCTTGTTGTAGAATGGACCAAAAAGTGAGCTTCACTTACTCTCAACATTACAAAAATCAATTATAACATATTTAATAAAGAGTTGCTTACAATTGTAAACCCTTTTAAAAGTTGGTGTTATTTCTTTGAAAATTCATCCTACATGACCATTTATCACAACAACCTTTAGTATTAGACTTTGGTATATATTCTTAATTGCTATCATGCTCAGTCATCATAATCATTATCCCATTTTTTGTTTATGATTGTACATAATTTAAAGAAAGCAAATGAAAAAGCTAATACTCTTATTCAATATAGTTACTTAAAGATCTTATATGTGACCTTTAGCATTAAACTTTCCTTGATTCTTTTTACTTTCAAATCAACTGCTTTGCATAATTTTTTGATCCTCTTAATAATTTTTTCAAGTCATAAATTGAAGTAGCCTAGGCCATATATTCATTTATTTAGAAAAGTAGACAATAAATTTCTTTTGGTGTTTCTTTAGCCCAATATGATGATTGTTAGTTTTTTAAATTTTAAGATATGCTCTTTCATAGACATGCTCATATGAATATACTTGATGGCAAAATATAGTTGTGTTTCATCCAAACATGCCATAACACCCTAGCAACATAATACTTTTGTCTGCAAAATAGTGGAATGTATCCAAAACTAGTCTTGGTGGCCTCATATACATAAGTATGTTGAACATATTTACAATATAAATCAATGGACTAAAATGCTTTGATATGTTTTATTGCTTGTTCTAAAATCTTGGAAATCTATCTATATAAATTTTCATACCAACCTTTCACCTTCTCAAGGATTTAAAACTATTTTTGTTGTGGTCGATTAATGACCTTATACTCTAAACACAAATTGATCTTTTTTTTCTTTATTGTTATAGTATTTTATTAGTAGTTCTGTTGTCTCTCTCCTTTTGACA